CAGCTGCGGCCCGGCGCGGACGGTGGAGGAATCATCATCGGCGGCGGCTCCCCGTCCTCCGAGCGGCCCGAGAGAGCCCGGCTGAGCGAGAACACCCGGCTAGCCACCCGCTACGCCGTGCGCATCTTTCGGGAGTACCTGAACGAGAAGGCACAGAGCCCGGACTTCGAGAGCATGGACAAGGAGGCGCTGTGCCGGGTGTTGCGCTCCTTCTACGCCGAGGCAAGGTCTAAGAGCGGCCAGCTGTACAGCAAGTCTTCCCTCATCAGCATCCGCTCTTCCCTCAACCGCTACCTAAACGAGCCGCCCTATTGCCGCACCCTGGACCTGACCAAAGACCCCGAGCTCCGCAGCGCCAACCTCACCCTGGCCGCCGTCATTCGTAAGCTGGAGGAGCAGGGGGCCGGCCCGGTGGTCCAGAAGCAGGCCATCACCCGGGCGGACCTAAGGAAGCTGTACACGTCCTGTGTGTTCAGTGCCGCCTCCCCCTTCGGCCTCCTCAACAAGGTCTGGTTCGAGACCTGTATGTACTTCTGTACCCGAGGCCGAGAGAACCAGCGGGAGCTGGAGGAGGACTCGTTCGGCCTGGCCATGGACGAGGACGGCCGGCGCTTCGTCTACTTCAAGTCGTTGGGGCCATACCACAAGTCGCGCTCCGCGTCCGGCTCCTCGTCCTGGGGGAAGAAGCAGCGTGGAGCCGAGGGCGACGAAGAGAACCTGCCGCGCATGTACGAGACCGGCACCGAGTTCTGCCCCTATGCCAGCTTTGTCAAGTACCTGGCCAAGCGCAACCCCCTGTGCAAAGCCTTCTTCCAGAGACCCCGGGACCACTGCAACGAGGCCGACGTCACCTGGTACGAGAACAAGGCCATCGGCAAGAACCTGCTGGGCACGCGAATGCAGATGCTGTCCAAGGCGGCCAAGCTGTCCAAGACCTACACCAACCACTGCATCGGTGCCGTGTCCGTGGCCACGCTCAACAGCATCGCCGGAATCGGCACCAAGCTGGGGCCCCCCTACTTCTCCGATGGCCTGAACGGCGCTAGACACCGGCCCGCCACCGCCTTCATCCTGCCCAAGGCCAACGGAGGAGGAATGGGGCTGCGGGAGATGAAGTGCGAGGCCACCAAGAGACCCTTGTATGACTCTGGACAAGCCATCTATGTGGACACTCCTCCTTCTCCAAAAAGACTCTGTGTCAGGTCTGCAGAGCCCTCCTCGGACTGCGTCCTGGTTGTGTCCGTCAAGAGTGACCATCAGCCACCCTGCCCCGAGACTAATGGTCACATGGTGCTGGCGGCCTCACCTGCTGTCACTTCCCCCACCGTGATGTCCCCTGTACAGGTAAATTCAGCTCTTCCTGCTAGAGTGGTGTCTCCTATCTAAGGCTGGCCACACATGGATCGATCTTCGTCCGTTTCCTGCTGAAGCTCCCAAAGTTTGATTCTTTGATGGCTCAGCCAGCAACACCCAACTTGACCAAAGTCAATCAGCTTTTGTTGACAGAGCCGGGTGGAAAATTGTCAGCAGCCAATCATCTACAATGGCTGATATCTGTTAGAACACAATTGCTGGCAGGGGAGATTCCTCCATCTACATTCTTTAGTATGGATGGGCAATCAAGAGATTTTTCTCGTTCAGTCCACTGGGCCCAACGAGAACAATCTTACAGAGCATGGCCAGCAAATGCCACAAAGGTGAGTCTGCCGCTAGCCAACAGGAAGATCAGTAAAAGGCTACCTGTCTGTCCCTATGCAATTGATCCCTTGCTAGCCAAGGCAGAAAGATGTGTCTCCCATCACTGGTGACCACGATTCGCCAGTGAGGGAGTGATTCCATGGGGTCAGACAGACACCCTCACTTGACACAATTGTATTGCTAGTGGCCTTGTGACATGCACATCTTTGCTAGGAAAACTCCATACTGGTCAGGTGCCCAACCTGCGGCCCTTTAGAACCTAGTGTGTGGCCCTCAGACAGTAGTCTCTGTTTTCCATACCTAAGTGCTCATTCAGGGCCATGGAGGAAAACTGTTCTTTAGAATAGTAGTAGTCTCCAGTAGGTCCAGGTGATTGGTTCGCTTTATTTATTTCACACTATCTCACTTTTTCTGTGCCGTCCATCCCATTTCTTTTTTATTTTATGGTGGATCTTGCTGAAATATGACATGAAAAGTCAACTTTAAAGTGACACTAACCTCAGCAATTCAATCTAAAAAATAATTCAGGTATCTGAACCAATAATACAAATTTATCTTATTTGTGTATCTCTCGGCTGTAGATCCTCAAATCATCTCTGAATTGGTGCTGACACTGTCCTTCCTTCTGGAGGGTGGCTGCTTATGTTCCCCATGGTCCCTGTGTGTGTTGTAAAGTAGTCACTGCTCCAAGCTCACTCCCAGTAAGGACTACAATCTCAATAGAAATGAGTAAACTAAACATGAGATGGTAGTCCATCACAGGAGCGATCTTGGAGCCGTGGCTACTTTACAACAGAAGGAAGGACAGTGTCAGTATGAATTCAGAGATGATTTGAGAATCTACAGCCGAGTGATACACAAATAAGATACATTTGTATTAATGGTTCAGGTAACTTGAATGCATTTTTAAGATTCAACTCCTGAGTTTAGTGTCACTTAAAGGATACTGCAAGGAGAGCTCATTTGTAAAAGGGGCTCTGTTAGTAGTGATGTCCAGCAGTCTCATGTTTATAGTCTATGGCTGTCTCCTAAAGCATGTCCGCAGTCTTCAACAACTACTATAGTATGTCTTCAGTCTCTGCCTGGCCCCTGTTGTATGTCCGGAGTCTCTGCCCGTCTCCTGTTGTATGTCCGCAGTCTCTGCCTCCTGTTGTATGTCCGCAGTCTCTGCCTGTCTCCTGCTTTATGTCCGTAGTCTCTGTCCGTCTCCTGTTGTATGTCCGCAGTCTCTGCCTGTCTCTTGCTTTATGTCCGCAGTCTCTGCCTGTCTAATGTTGTGTGTCCGCAGTCTCTGCCTGTCTCCTGTTGTATGTCCGCAGTCTCTGCCTGTCTCCTGTTGTATGTCCGCAGTCTCTGCCTGTCTCCTGTTGTATGTCCGCAGTCTCTGCCTGTCTCCTGTTGTATGTCCGCAGCCTCTGCCTGTCTCCTGTTGTATGTCCGCAGTCTCTGCCTGTCTCCTGTTGTATGTCCGCAGCCTCTTTGTATGCCCGCAGTCTCTGCCTGTCTACTGTTGTATGTCCGCAATCTCTGCCTGTCTACTGTTGTATGTCCGCAATCTCTGCCTGTCTACTGTTGTATGTCCGCAATCTCTGCCTGTCTACTGTTGTATGTCCGCAATCTCTGCCTGTCTCCTGTTGTATGCCCGCAGTCTCTGCCTGTCTACTGTTGTATGTCCGCAATCTCTGCCTGTCTCCTGTTGTATGTCTGCAGTCTCTGTCTGTCTCCTGTTGGCCCTTAAGCGATGTAAGGGTCCTCATTTGAGGCCCCCTGTATGAAGTAAGCTCACCGCCATGGCCAGACACAATAGATATCAGAAACTGCTCAAACAAATGGGTGCTTGGATCAGTAACACATGGTTTTCACCAAAAAGAAGTGGTCAGCCCTGCTACAAAATCGGATTCTTCTATCCTTGTATGTAAGAGAAATGTGTTTCACAGAAACTGCTAAAACATTGGACAGATTAATCCGTTTCTTCATTGAGTGGAACAATGACTTATGGGAAGAAAGTGTAAAGCGTTCCCATTTGTGATCAGTCGGTTGTTACGTGAATGGGGCTTTACTGTTATATCGGAGGGGCAGTGACACATTTTCTGATCTTGGCTTCATACGAGAGGAGTGTCTGCGTGACTTTGGGTAATAGGGTCAGATCAGGACACATGAAGATATATCTGTTGGTAATGGCCCCTCCCTAAACGTGCATACTCAGCTGAGCCGAAACCTGCATGTAAAAGGGCCCATTCACTCCATGTTGTTGTGTTACTGCTCACTTGAGCACTGCGCATGTCAATGTGGGCAACATTCATTGGTACAGTTCTGTTCCATTTATTGAAATGGCACCCCAGCACACTTTGCTGACTGATCGGCATTGCTGAACAATGTGCGTTGCAGCGCCCTGGCATAAACTGGTGCATGCACGACTTTTTGGCAGCATGCTGCAACACAAGTTAGTGCGTTGCCGTATGTTGCACTGTAATACGTGTCTGTCAGAAGGTTTGTTGGAGTGCCATGGAGAATGAATGGCGCTATATTGCACCAACACATTTAATGTGCTGCCGTGTGTTGTGGTAGTGCGTGTTCCCGCAATGACATGCTAAAACTGGCCATAACTGTGTGAAGAGTATGGGAGGAAGGAGCATGGGGGGGGGTGTAGTGGATTTACAACATTTTTACTGTCCAGTATTCCCCTGGCTGATGGCCATCTACTGCCATATATATCAGATTGTTATCTGCACCAGCTAAGATTGTGTCACCGGGCACCTGAGAAAACGAATTATTATTATTATTATACAGGATTGATGTAAAGCCAACAGTTTGTGCCGCACTTTGCAATATAAGGAAGACATTACAGTTACAATGCAAATCCAGACAAGATGGTTAGGAGGGCCCGGCCCAGGAGAGCTCACAATCTAGAAGAGTGCCCATACATGTGCAGAAATGCATTTCTAATCAGGCAGTTGAGAGAGACGTCTGGGTCAGTCCAGGTCGCAGGTCTATGACCAGCTCTACCCATCTATGATTAATAATTCATTATCAGAACGGGAAAACAAAGCACAACCTGCCCTGTGTATTAAGTAAACCCGACTTTTATGAAACATTCACTACAGGTGAATCTTCCTGCTAAATGTGTTTTACATGACCGTGATTGATCCACCGCCAGTAAATGTTTGTAACTTTCACCATCCATTTGTTTATAAATATGTCCCATGGGTGGATAGAAGAATGTGTATCTTTAGGTGCTTCTGCATAGTTCTCTCATCTCATTTTTCAAAGGCTGAGCAGTGAAGTGTGACCTGTCACCTCTGTTCTAAGGCTCCATTCACACATGAGTGGTTTTCCGCACGTATTCGGCTGTACGAATACGCACGGAACCACGCTAAACATAAAATGTGCATTGCATTATTATTATTATACAGGATTTATATAGCACCAACAGTTTGTGCAGCGCTTAACAATATAGGGAAGACATTACAATCACAATACAAATCAAGACAAGATGGTATGGACTATTGAGGCGGCCACGCGGTACGAAACCGCGCGTCCCGCAAAATAGTCCAAGCGCGATTTTATGGGCGGATTCTGCAAGTTCTGGGAATGGTAATAGCCGCAAAGGTGCGGAATCCGCACGTATGTTAAGGTTAGCGCGGTTCGGTTCCGTGCGGTTTTCTGTGCAGAAAATGCTACCGCAATGTGTGAATGGAGCCTTAGATTGGCCTGGATTACTAATAATGAAAATGACTTGAAGGGCCAGTCTTTGAGTAGTTTGTGTCGGATATGATTAGTCTCGGCTTATTTTAGTCTGCTGAAAAGCTACAAAGCTACAGAGCAGTGTGACCCCATAGAGGTAAACTGGTTCCTGTATAGAACAGGACGACTCCATGTACAGTCATCATACAAACGTGTTATATTTCTCAAGCTTGGGGTTGTAGCCAGGATTGTGTCTCTATATGGGATAGAAAATCCAGTTATTGTGGTATTTATAGTTTACCTAAACTTGATCACACAGGCTGTGCATGTAAAGCTGTCTGAGGACGTTCATTAGTGAACAACGTGTTAATAGATCCTGGCCATACACTATACAGTCTGCTTGTACAATATTCTAAAGGCCCCATTCACACAAAGGTACTCGCTGGTCCACGGAGGGTCTGTTGACCTGCGATTGTACCTTTCGATTTCTGTGTGATCCGATGCACTGCGTTTTTTCATCTTTTTTTATTTTTAGGATGAGCTTTATGTGAAGTAACTTGTCCAGAGTGAACATACTTCATTGTAAAGCTTGGAATGCGTTGCGTGTTAAAAAAAAAAAATAGAGCATGCTCTTCTTTTTTTTTCAGCGCAACAGACGGCAATGCAACGCACCAATGTAAACTGTCCTATTCGCACCCATTCATTTCTCGTTGCCCTTGAGTTACCATCCGTTATAAAACGGATCCGGTGTGAATGGGCTCTTAAGGCTGATTCACATCACGTGTTGGAGCTGCTGTGTCTATTTTGTGTCAGAGCAGCTCCAGCACAGGACAAGGCAATATGCCTAGTCGCAGATGGGCACAGTTCATACAACTGCATCATGGTGGTCTCCCATAGAACTTCATGAATTGTCACTTGTGACAAGTTCTAATGCTCGCCAGTGGCCGGGTCACTGGTGTGAA